CCCCCCCAGATAGGTATCTGTATCCGCCACTGTAACGGCCTATCGACAACTATGGTCATTTAGGGTCAAGGTGATTTTTTGGTTTGGACAATCAGAATCAAGAATTCAGTACTTGTGTTTTGTGTTCATTTTAGATTTCAAGCATCGAAAATTTATTTTAATGATGAACGTGTTTGACCCTCTCTGAACGTGAATCCAATTCAGCCATGCCCTCTTTTTGATATTCAGTGTTGTCAGCAATCATAGGCCAAAAATACCTAATCAACAACAAATATTGTCGTTACTAATACCAACAAATATTCTGTCGGTTTTTATACCAATACATGTTCTGTCGTTATTGATATCAACAAATATTCTGTCGTTAATGATACCAACAAATAGTATGTCGTTATTGATACCAACAGATATTCTGTCGTTATTGATAACAACTATTCTGTCGTTATTGATACCAACAGATATTCTGTCGTTATTGATAACAACTATTCTGTCGTTATTGATACCAACTAATTTTCTGTCGTTATTGATACCAACTAATTTTCTGTCGTTATTGATACCAAATATTCTGTCGTTATTGATCAAAACAAATATTCTGTCGTTATTGATAACAATAAATATTCTGTCGTTATTGATAACAAATATTCTGTCGTTATTGATACCAACTAATATTCTGTCGTTATTGATACCAACAAATATTCTGTCGTTATTGATATCAACAAATATTCTGTCGTTATTGATACCAACAAATATTCTGTCGTTATTGATAACAACAAATATTCTGTCGTTATTGATAACAACAAATATTCTGTCGTTAATGATACCAACAAATAGTATGTCGTTATTGATCGAAACAAATATTCTGTCGTTATTGATAATAACAAATATTCTGTCGTTATTGATAACAACAAATATTCTGTCGTTATTGATAACAGCAAATATTCTGTCGTTATTGATACCAACACATATTCTGCCGTTATTGATATCAACAAATATTCTGTCGTTATTGATATCAACAAATATTCTGTCGTTACTGATACCAACAAATATTCTATCGTTATTGATACCAACAAATAGTCGTTATTGATACCAACAGATATTCTGTCGTA